ACGCAGCTGCACCTTTGGTCCTCTGTCCTACTGCTGCCCAACGCCACCCCATCGCTCCTGATCGCTGCCTGGGGTCCTGTTCCCATTGCAGGCCGGTGGCACTTGACTTCTGCTTTTGCTGTGACTGGGGAAGTCAGGGCCCATCCAAGGGTGAGAGCTTGCTGCTGCAGCCAGAGGTCACCGCAGCCCTTCAGCCCTCTCCATTAGGCTGCCTGTTGGGGCCCCTTTTGATTGTGTTCCCTTCCCTTTCCTGTTGGTTGTCACCTTTGCATTACTGTGACACAACACCTGGGAAAATCAACTTAAGGGAGGAAATATGTATTTCTGGCTCGTGATTTCAGAGGTTTCCGTCCAGGGTCAGCTGGCTCTGCTCCGTAGCTTGGGCCGGAGGCCTGGCAGAACATCATGGCAGCGGGTGTGTGGTGGGGCAAAGCTGCTGGCCTCGTGGTGACCAGGAAGGGGACAGCGAGGTCGAGGAAGGGGCTGGGGACAAAGCATGCCTTTCAGAGGCCTGCTCCCAGGGACCTTCTTCTCCAACTAGGTCCCTCCTCCTCATTCCATCACTTCCCAATAGTCCACTCAGCTGTAAATCCATCAGTGGACTAAGGAGGTCAGAGCTCTCCTGATCCAGTCACCTCCCAAGGACCCACCTCTGACCCCTGCTGCACTGGGGACCAAGCCTGTAATGCCTGAACTTTGGGGGACACGTCAGAGCCAAACCATAACAGGTTCCAATGTCCCCGGTGACCCTGGGGATTACTGTCAATAATTCTCACAGAGACCTTTGCATTCCCAAAGAGGGCGCCTGGGAACGCGCTGACTCCTCAGGCAGAAGTGTCACGTTCCTGCTGGCAGAACGTGACAGGGATGCACTGCCTCTCTGTGGACCCAGGGTCGGGTCCTCTGTGGCAGCTGTAAACTCCAGGGCAGTTTTGCAGTTGTAGCTTTTGCCCTCGCCTCTGCCTGTGCCACGGTGACTTGTGTTGACCTCGGTGGCTGTAAGGAACACTCGTGATTGTTACTCATTTCCATGGCAGAGTGACAGGTGTGACAGGACGTGACTAAAGTCTTGCCCTGCCCTCCACCTATGGGCAAGGGCCCAGGGTCCAGGAACACTAAGGAAATTTCCTCTTGCTCTGATGGGGCTGGGGCAATGTCTCCTGGAGATTCTGAAATCTGAAAAGCAAATGGTGGAGCAAAGCCAGCCCGCAGCTGCCCCTGGCTTGGAAAGAAGATCTGGAGAGACCAGCTACCCCCCGCACAGTGCCACTCACGAGCCTTGCCCTCCCCGGAGCTGTTTCCTGCCGAGTGGCTCCCTTCCCAGGCTCATCCCTCAGACTGTGAGCATCGCTGCCAGCAGTGCCCTGTCAATGTCCTGACCCCCACAACTCCCAGAAAATTCCCAGAATTGCCTGTCAGTGGACTGGCTTGGGGCAGTCCGTGTGGCCTGGGAGATGGCGTCTCCTTTGAAGGGGTGGAGAGGACCAGGCAGGAAGCTGGATGTTGTCAGGGAGGGGGTGTCACGTGAATTAAAGGGGTCTCCCCAAGGAAAATCAAGATGTCACACTCAGGGAAGGAGAGATCATATCTTCAGCAGATGTTTGTGCCAGCTATCCATTAATGGACAGCTAGACAGAGAAGGTGGGAGAGAGAGAGAGAGAGAGAGAGAGAGAGAGAGAGAGAGAGAGACGGTTAGGAAAGCCAACCACTAACACAGGCATAAAAGAAAAAAAAAAGGTGACTTTTAAAAAAATTTAAAAATTTGTCTTAATTAGTTCTACATGACAGTAGAATACATTTATGAACTTTGATCTACATAGATGGGATATAATTTCTCATTTTTCTGAGTGCACATGTTGCAGAATCATACTGGTCATGCAGTCACATATATACATACAGTAGTAATATCTGTTTCCTTCTACTATCCTTCCTGTCCCCATATCCCCTCCCCTCCCCTCCCATCACTTCCCTCTACCTAATCTAAGGTAATGCTATTCTTCCCTAGTGACATTCGCCTTATATGAATTAACATCTGCATATTAGAGAAAATATTCAGCCTTTGGTTTTGTGGGATTGGCTTATTTCACTTAGCATGATATTTTCCAACTCCAACCATTTACTGGCAAATGCCGTAATTTTATTTTTCTTTAAAGCTGAGTAATATTTCATTGAAAAAAAAATATATTTTACCAACCTAAGTGTCCCTCAATAGATGAATGGATAAAAAGGTGACTTTTAAAAAATAATCAAGAAGCAATAATTACACTGAGGTTTATAGCAGCACTATTCATTCACAATAACCAAGGGGTGGAAATAACCCCCATGTCCATCAACAGATGAATGCACAAACAAAAGCTGATATACACCTACCATGGGATATTATGCACTTACAAAAAAGCAGTAAAATCTTGACATGTGCTACAACGTGGCCAAGCCTTGAGGATATTATGTTAAAGGAAATAAGTCAGACCAGAAAGGGAACACGCTGTGATTCCACATACGTCAGTTTCCTGGAGACAGACAGTACTGTGGTGGCTTCCAGATCCTTGGAAAGGGGCAAATGGGAAGCTGTTGTTTAGTGGTACAGAATTTTAGTTTTACAAGATGGAAGAGTTCTGGAGGTGGTGTTTGCTTAACAATATGGACATAGTTAGTGAGACTTAAAAATGGTGAGAATGGTAAACTTTATGTTAGGTATATTTTACCAAAATAAAATATTACGAGAGAAAAATCATTATAATTGAGTCTGGGAGGAAGGATGCCCTTTTCCCCCAGGCCTCTTGATAAATACTTGTTTCAAAGTTTCCCAGGGCTTTGTTCTGAACACAAAAGAGGTCAGTAAGAACTTGCTGGATACAGCATTAAAGCAACTGGAGACATTCCAGCCCCATCCCCAGGGCAGAAGTAATTTTTGAACCAACATTTAGACTATCATCTCCAGAGTGCCAGGTCACACCCTGAATGCCCAGGTCTGTTCAGGGACCCTGGCAGTGTCTTAGAGAGGCTTTGATAATCAGTATATGGATGTCAGAAAGAGGGGACTTCCCCCAAGACTGCAAATCCCTTTATGTTCTCAACCAGTTTTGCCCACCGCCCCCCCAGCCACCCCAGAGGATATCAGGCAGTGTCCAGATGGGGTGGTGGAGGGTGCTACTGGTAACTTGTGGACAGAGGCCAGAGATGCAGTCAAACAAGCTACATTGCACAGACCCATCCCCACAATAGGGCTATTCAGTCCTAAATAGTGATAGTGTGTGTGGGGCTGAGCCCCAGCCTGGGAAGTCCTCTTACACATCCAAGGGCTTAACCCGCCCCCACCCCCCGCCACTTTCTCTCTCTTACCTATACCCTCCTCAGTCCCTTCCTGGTATTTATTGTGTTTTGATGAATCACAAGAAGTTTACAGCATAAAAACACACTTCTAAAATTAGCCTCTTGCTCAATATCCTTTAAAGCAAATGGCCATGCCATAAACATACCTTGGATTTGATTCTGTGCCTGGGATTCTGCATAATAGGTCAGAGAGAGGTAGAGGGAGGAAGAGAGGGGGATCAAGGTACAGCTGTGCCACAAACAAGAATCAATGCCCCCTCTTTCTGCAGGGCCCCAGGAACCATCCCGACCTCAACAGACTTTTAAATGTCAATCAGCCAGTTAAGTCTGGCACACAGACCACCCAAGGTAAGGAAGGGGATGGTGTATTGTTTGAAAAACTATGTTTAATTTAATATACAACTTTAATAATAATATTAATAATAATTATGCTTAATATAATCACACAGTTTTGTTTTGAAATAAAACTGAGCAAATAAATGGCATTTGGTGTTTCTCAAAAGGTGCCCCCCCAACTTAAGGCATGTTGCAGAGAGACACATTTGACCAGAATCAGAAGTTAAATTTTCCGTTTAATTGACAAAAATGTTCTTTTAAAGGTTTTATACCAAGCCAGCTTCTGTTTGGATGAGTCAGTCGTTTTTAAACTCACCCAAGGGTCCTGGTAGCTCTTCCACTTTCAGTTTCAGCACAGGTCTAGCCAGGCCCAGTGGTGTGGCCTGCCATGCCGACTGCTCAAGAGGACCAAGCAGAAGGATTCCAAGTTTGGGCCAGCCCAGGAAACTCATTGACACCCTATCTCAGAATAAAAAAGCTTTTTGGGCACGGCGGTGCATGCAGATAATTCCAGCGGCTCAGGAGGCTGAGGCAGGAGGATCACAAATTCAAAACCAGTCTCAGCAATTTAGTGAGGCCCTAAGCAGCTCAGCGAGACCCTGTCTCAAAATAAAATGTAAAAAGGGCCGAGGATGTGGTTCAGTGGTCAAGCCCCCTTGGGTTCAGTCCCTAAAACAAAACAACAACCAACAATCATTCTGAATGGTTTTTCCCTAAGTTCTTCATAAAATGTATAGACTCTTACTTCAATAAAAACAAACAAAAAACTAAAACAAAAATAAAGATATTAAGACTGAACATTTACTCCCCTCACCCCATTTATCAAATCTTTCTTATCCCTTACTTAGGTAATCAAGATATCTTTTCTCCAATAATTGGGGTAAAATACTGCTCTGAGCTTTTGAGAAAAGCATATTTTCCTCATTTGGATAAATTATTTGTTTTCTGAAGAAGATAGAAATATGTGGTGAAAGGGGACAGGGAGAATAAAAGAGATTGGGTGACGGTCCTTAATTAAGGCCAAGATTGGTTTCTTAACTCTGTCCCAGGATTGCATTTTTGTCATACAAAAGCCTATTTTCACACCCACACAAATACTGTAGTTTGCTCCTGATCTCTGGGGATAGTTCTGAGACACCCAGTGGCTGCCTAGAACCATTCCTAGTACCAAACCCTAAATTTTACCCTATTTTTTTCTTATATCTATCTATCTATGAAGGTTGAATTTGGGATTCTCTTCTGAGGTGCCGTAAATACACCTATGGATTTCCTCTTGATTGGGTCCAGAAGAATAGAAGAGATCTTTTTCTAAGGACAGATTGGTAGTTTTATTTTTAATTTTTTATTGAGGTACAACACCCACAAGAAAGCATATAAATTGTAGCAGCTTATTGCATTATTGCAAGGTGATCCCTCTCCTGCAGCCAGCACCCACCTCCATGAGATGCAGAGGACAGCACCCCAAAAGTCTCCATGTGCCTGGCCCCAGAAGTACCCCAAAGCTGGTAGGATGGTGCTTCGCTTGGTTTTGAACTTGGTGGTCCCCGGTGTGTTTTCTTGTGTCTGCCTTCTTGTGCTCTGTGTTTATAAGGTTCATCACTTCAACCTGCACACGGATTTCCATTTCCCACGATGCTTCTTTCTTGGTCCCTGTAAAGACGTTGTAATCTTCTATGTCATCTGTCAATCATTCCTCAATCGAGCTGTTAAAAAATGATCATATCTTAGTTGAGACCTGAAGGATGTGTAGAATTTGCCAGAATCAGGGAACAGTTTGGATGAAAGAAATGGACTGCCCAAAGACAGATAGTGAATAAAACTATGGGATGTAGAGGGTGCTGGAATAGACCACATTTTATTCAACTGCTGTTTTTAAATCAGGACCATTCAGATTGTCCTCAATGTTTTCCATAATAAATAATTAAACTGAAGTCCCTACACATACCTCTTAATAGGATAGATTTCCTAACAATTAAACTGAAGTCCCTACACATACCTCTAATAGGACAGATTTCCTAACTGGAAGCTTGCTGGATCTAGGGATGTGTTATTCAAATATTTAGTAAATATTGCAAGACTGGGCTATGAAATATTATAACCATTGCCCTTCTGCCAGCAGTGTCTGAGTTAGCCTATGTCTCCTATCTTCATCAGTATTGAATGTTAGTTGCTTTAAAATTTTTTCTGTGGATTTGTTAGTGAAAATGTTGCTTTATTTTTTTTTTTTTTTGGTCTTAATTCACCCCTCCCAACTATTGAAGAGATTAAGCATCTTTTTTTTTCATCTTTTATGAAAAGATGCTTAATCCTCATTGCTGGGGATGGAACCCAGGGCTTCACATATGCTAGGCAAGTGCTCTACCACTGACCTGCACCCCAGCCTTCAATTTCTTATTTTATAGAAGTTATTTAATTTAGGTAGTAAGGAAAAGGATAAACGAGAAAGAAAAATGAGGTGTGGGAACATTCTGACTATTCGTATAAAATACATTCCTAGTGCCAAGCTCCCAATAGGTCCTCAGCAAACGGAAGCCATTTTTTACTTTTCAACGCATGCAGATGGCGCCTTGCTGAGACGGCTTCCTCTGTTCAACAGCTTCCCAGCTGTGAAGAGCTCTGACCCAGCCAACGTGTCTGGTTACTGGTGTGAAAGACACTTTGAATTTGGTGCTGCAGGCGAGCAGAGAAGGCTCAGGTGCTTCTGGGCAGCAGGAGATTGCTCGGGTTCAAAGGAGCCCTGCACTGCGAGCAGAGGAAAGGTGAGAACCAGGCTCATTGCCAGCAGCCAAGTTGTCCAGGCTCCAGGGTGCTCACACACTGAAAACAACCCAGAGCCATTTCTACAGAGTCACTTTCAGAAGCAGGTGTACCTACAGCCAGTTTTAGGAGAGAAAGAAATGCTCGCTTTCAGTTTCTGTGCTTGTCTGCAGGCTGAGTCACCAGGCACCTGCATTGTAAATGGTGGCCAGTTTCCAGAAAAGGTTATTGAACTGAAATGATAAAGAAGCCAGAAATGTCTTTCCTGGAAATACCTGGAATAGCAAGACACACAGTGTTTACTTCACAGGCTCCCAAATTTTCTTGGTTCACTCTGTGCCTGGGCCAAAAAGTTACCTAGCAGTTTTTGTTTATTAAGCGGTGAAGTCAAAAAACTTAGTAAATATTGATGTGCTAAAAACTTAGCAGTCACTTGAAAAAAAATGTATATTCAAAAAAACAATACACATACACTGAAAAAATGATTCATGCATTGTATGTACATATAATAATATACACTGAAGATAATATGCAATACCTAGTAATACACATACGTTGAAGAAAACCACATATTTCTTATTTTCCTCTTAAGTAGCTGTGATTAAATAACATGTTATTTAAGTTCCTAAATAACTTTTTTAAGTATTGGGATTAGTTGCCGTGGATGCATGTGCCTTTGGGGCGTGGCACAATTCTCAGACCTTGGAATCAGATTGGACAGGTGGACACTGCTGGACTCATTTCTTCTTTCACATTGACTTTCATGGGACACTTGGATTTTATCATGGCATCTGCTGTACAAACTGCTTCACAAAGATGTTACGTCATTGAAAGGAATGTAGCAGCATCTGAGATTAAAACTGCCATCTATCTTGGCCGAGTAGCTTCAGATATTGAGCATCACTTTGTTTCCTTTGGAATTTAAAATACCCATAACCCCTTGTGAACTCACTGTGACTCCCTGGGAACTTACAATCTGGGAACTGCAGATTGTTTTAACCTTTCCTCCCATGGCTTTATTGAGGTAAAATTGAAGTACAGTAAAGTGCACATATTTGAGGAATGCAATCTGATGAGTTTTGACATGTGTGCAATCAATACAATCAATATAAAAAGCATTTCCATCATTTTTAAAAAAAATTGAAATCATGCAGGCTGTGTTTCCTGTATGTTTATTATATTAGAATTCAATCCCTTATGGTATATAGAACCCCACCTCCACATGTCAACCATTTCAAAATTAAATGGCACACACATAACTATCTCATGGGTCGAGGAAGAAAGCACAAGAAAAGTAAATAAAAAGTGCTTTGAACTAAGTGACAATCAAAAGCTTAAAATATCAGAATTTGGGATGAAACAGTACTCAGATGAACATTTATAACTTAAAGTACTTTTATCAGAAAGAAGCTAGATTCACAATCAGATTATTTTCCAATTAGGCAGAAATAGGAGACAGAGAGGAGAAATAATACAGCTAACAGCTGATAAAAATCAAGTCTAATCAAGAAAAAAGCAAGAACACAAAAATTAAATATCAGTGGAAAGGGAGCTAACAAAATAACCGCACAGATGCTAAAAATAAATTAAGGTAATATGACAATTGAATGCCAACATATGTGATAGCTTACATAACATGGTCTATATTAGAGAAAGATCTGTGTGCTGCTGCAAAGAAAGTGTATGTGGTCATTGATGGATGAAATATTCTATATATTTCTGTAAACTCTAAATTATTAATTGTATTTTTTTAGTTTTATAGCTTCTTTAAAAAATTTATTTTAGTTGTAGATAAACACAATGCCTTTCTTTTATTTACTTTTATGTGGTGCCGAGGATCAAACCTGGTGCCTCACATGTGCTAGGCAAGCACTCTTCTACTGAGCTACAATCCCAGCCTCTCTGTAACTCCTTTATTTAGTTTTTGTTTGGAGGATCTGTTCAGTAGTGACGGAGGCATGTTAAAGTCACCCAGTATTGTTGTGTTGTGGTCTATTTGACTCTTGAAACCGGGAAGGGTTTGTTTTGTACGCAGATGCTCCATTGTTTGAGGCATAAATATTTACATTGTTATGTCTTGTTGTTGTATGATTCCCTTAAGCAGTATGAAATGTCCTTCTGCCCCTTCTGATTAACTTTGTCTTGAAGTCCACTTTATCTGATATGAGGATAGAAACCCCTGCTTGTTTACTAAATACTTGTGAATGATATGTTTTTTCCCCATCCTTTTACCTTCAGTCTGTGGATGTCTTTGCCTATGAGGTGAGTCTCTTGAGGACAGCATATTGTTGGGTCTTATTTTCTCAATCCAATCTATGTCTTTTGATTCATGGGTTTAGGCCTTTTACATTCAGTGTTATATTGAGAAATGATTTCTATTCCCTTCTATTTTGATTTATTTCTGTTTTTTTTTTTACTTTGAATTAGTTTCTTGTTTGATTGACTAGTCTAATATAGCTCCTCCATTTGCTGGTTTTCACTTCTTCTTCATAAAATATTTTATTGAGAATGTTCTATAGTTCAGGCTTTCTAGTTGTGAATTTTTTTAACTTTTATTTATCATGGAAGATTTTTATTTCATCGTCAATTCTGAGACTTAATTTTGCTGGGTATAGTATTCTCAGCCTGCATCCATTTTCTTTCGGAGCTTGGTATATTATCTAAGACCTTCTAGCTCTGAGGGTCTGGGTTGAAAAATCAGCTGAGATCCAGATTGTTTTCCTCTAAATGTTAACTGCCATTTTCCTCTGGCAGCCTTTAAAATTCTATACTTATTCTGTATGTTAGGCATTTTCAAAATAATGTGCCTTGATGTGGGTCTGTTGTAATTTTGCATATTTGGGATCTTGTAAGCCTCCTGTATTTGATGTTTCATTTCATTCTTAATGTTTTGGACATTTTCGGATATTATTTCATTGGAAAGATTATGAATTCCTTTGGTTTGTATCTCTGAGCCTTCATCTATCTCCATAAATCTTAAATTTGGTCTTTTCAGGTTGTCCTATATTTCTGAAGTTCTGTTCATGGTCTCTTAACATCTTTTCTCCACGGTCAAATTTGTTTTCAGGATTACATATTTTGTCTTCATTGCCTGAAACTCTGTTTTCCAAGTGATCTAATCTGCTGGTGATGCTTTCCATTAAATTCATAATTTGGTTTATTGATTCCTTCATTTTGAGGATTTCTGCTTGACTTTTTTCAGAATCTCTATCTCTTTATTGAAGTGATCTTTCACTTCCTGTATTTTCTTTCTGATTTCACTCCTTACATCATCCTTTACTTTGCAGATCAGTTTGACCATGTACATTCTAAATTCCTTCTCTTCCACTGTGGTGTCATTAGATCCTTTATTGGAGTATTTTGGTTTGTTGGGGTGATTTGTTCCCTTGGTTTTTCATGTTATTTGTTTGTTTACCCATCTATCAGTATGAATTTGACGTAGCAGAGTTTCTACTCTGTGGACTCACAGTGTCCCTGAAGGTTTCCAGTACCTCACAATTTAGGGGGAGACAAATAGTAACAGCTAATGCAAACAATATATAACAATAAACCAGATAGTTCTGACTATGATGTCTTCAATGTTAATTATCACAATAAACAGAAACGATATGATTAGTTATTTCCTACACTAAAAACAGCAAGTTTGCAAAACGGTTTACCATTTCAAATGGTGGACAGGGAGGGAACAGAAATGACATAGGATGTGATAATTATGAGGGAGGAGGAGAGAAGATAGAAGTAAGAAATTAAAGGAAGGGTGAAAGAGAGAGAAAGAAAAGAGAGAAAGAGAATGAAGGGAAACAGGTAAGAGAAAAATATATAGAAGTAAAAATTTAAAAAAGAATAAAAATAAAGTAATACAAAAGAAAACTACAATGTACTAATCAAACATCCAAATCCTCAAAAAACTGATCCATGAAAAATAACTGGCTTTATAATAGCTAGACATGAGGAAAAAAAAAACAAGTATGAGTATGTATAAATGTCCATGTACTGTTAAGGTCACAATTAAACACAAAAAGAAAGAAGAAAAAAGAAAAAAAGAAAGGAGAAAAAAATCTCAATGAAAAGTTAAAGAATTCTTTTAGTTGGAGTTCAAAATATTCTCAGCGTCTCTTCTCAGCAGTTTAGATGAGGCCGGTGGAGTGTGATGCTCCTCCCTCTGGATTGCTGGAGTGAGAGAGGCAATCCTGTAGGAGGAATTCCTGGAAGCAGTTTTAGGCTTAGGTGGGCTCCAGGCTCTTTGCTGAATGCCAATTGGTCTGGAGATTTTAAATCAGTGCACCCCCAGCACCCAGTAATTGCTGATCCACGTCGGAAGACTGTGCCCCAGGGATCTCCCCTGGGTTCCACTCTTGTGGTGCTGGAGCCAATTCTTAGTCCCTTACATCACCTGCAGACCCCACGTTTCCTGATCTTGGGTTCAGTCTCCAAACAATCTCTCCCATCTCCGCCATTCCAAGTTCTCGGCCAGATGCATCTCTCCTAGCCAGTCCTGCAGATAGCTGAGTGGGAGGGGTAGGGGTGGTGGGTTTCCACAACCAGTTGTCCCCTCTGTAGACCTCTCTCCATGTTCAATTTTCTCCTGGTCACTTAAGCACACTTTATGGGGTGCAGTGTGTATTTACTGAGCCTATATTTTGGGCCAAACTCAGGTTTTCCAGGAATTGTCTCCCTCAGGTGCCGACCCCCAAGCCATGACTGCAAAACAGTTCCATCTCTCGTCCTCCACACACTACCTGGAGAGGTGGTGGCTTCTTTCCCTCACAAAGATATTGTGCAGTTTAATCACTCAGTGTCCTTGATCTCTAAATGTTCTGTACCCAATATGCCTCAAGTCTCCTAAAAATGGGGGTTCTTTTAATTCCCTTATCCTTCACTTTGCTCTTGAAGGACCACTTTGGTTGGTGCTTTTGGACCAACCATGACAGTGGTTGTGTTGCTGGGGATTTCTTCCTTATTTTATTATACCCAGCCTCCTGAGTCCCTGATCTGTTTTGAATGCACAGTTTTAAGTTCCAGTAAAGTCCACCCGCCTACCCCTTTTGGTTACTCACCTTTCTGAGAAACTGCCTGTTTTCTTGGTTTCACTCTACAGAACAGCCAGGAAAGCGATATCCTCTCATCTGCCATCTTGAAAAATTCCTGCAGACTAATTTAACAAGTCTGGAGTAGGTGGTCTGGTCTGGGTGTTGGTCTGGTGGCTTGGTGATGTCGTTGTCAAGGATTTACCCAATGGTAAGTTGCACCTCATAGTCTCAAGATGGCTGCCAGAGCACCAGCACCACATTCTTGCACTTGCAAGAAGCTGTGAATGAAAGAAATGGGGGAAGGGTAATATGGCAGGATAAAATGGGACCATCTTTTAGACTCCATCTGGACTTGGTGGTAGACTGTGGAGACATCTTGAATGATTACCACCTGAACAGGGATTAAAATTAGAGGCCTTGGTCATGCCAACCAGAGATTAGGAGACTGGAAGGTTTGCAACCAAAGAATTCCTTAGGAAAACACTGTCTCTCTAGGTATTAGGTGTTTCAGCGACTTGGGATGGCCAGTACATTGTGTATGAGGACATCAGGCCATGGAAAAATTCTCATGTACCTGAGTGACATTCAGATGTCTTCTGGAGATTCACTGTGCTGGGAGCGGTGGAGTCCATTTTGGCTCTGGATGAGGGAGGAACATGGCTAGAGGATTATCATCTAGTTGACCCAGGTGCCAGGGAGGACGTGATACGTGATCTGAGATTTGAATGAGAAGTTGGCCAAGAGGGCAAGAGAGGACTTCAAAGAGAGAGAGGGGCATGGCCAGGAGGGCCCAGGGTATCTGACTAATCTGGTAAACTGCATAAGGTTCATGAGACAAAAAGTGTCTAGGGGCTAGGACTGGGGTCTGTGACGAGCCAAGGGAGTTTGGTTTTCCCCTGAAACTATCGAGACACTGAAATGTTGTAACTCAGTTAGATCAACAGTCTGGGGAACTGCCACTATCATGGGGCAGAAATTTCCTGGTATTCCTACCACGCGTTTCTTCTTCCTCCTGTGCACACAGCTGGACTGCATTTCTCAGCTTCTTTTACAGACAGATGAAACCACGTGACCAAGATCTAGCCCATCAAGAATGGCTGGAAAGGGTATTTGCTCTTTCTAGGCCTTGCCCATAGAAATATTCTCTTTCCCTATGGCCTAGCAAAGATCCAAAGATCCCAGTAGTGGATCTCCAGGATGGAAGTAGCCCGACTCCCTGAGTCACCGTTTGGTGGACGGCCTGCTATGGATCGTTGTGTGAACAATGGAATCACTTTTTATTATGTTAAGGCATTAATGTTGACGGGGATATTTGTTGTAGCAGTTAGTTTAGCCTAATACAAACCATAACAATGGCTACTGTTCATTGGGTTCTTGTTCTGAATTTGTTGGGGTCTGTACTAAATGCATTTTCTCATTTCAGCCACAAACAGACCTCTGCATAGTTAGTCCACCTTTAGAGAAGAGGAAACTGAGACTGACAGAGCAGATAGCAAGTGAAGGGCAGAGCATTCTGATCCCCCCAGTCTGGACTGTTAAGTTGTACCCTGCTGGCTTCCAGTATGAAACAGATAAATGAAAATTGGGTGAGACGGAGACCAGCTGAGGAGTTATAACGATGCTAGCAGGGAGCTCCTAGCTGTGAGATGAGGAAGCCGGCAGGATGAACTGAGGAGTCCAGTGCAGGCGTGTGATGAATGTTAATTTGGTTTTTCCGAGCAAGAAGTGACAAAGGCCTGGGTGAAAACAGGAGAGGATTGTACTGGAAGCCCCAGTGGAAGGGCCTGGGCAAAGGATGCAGGAGACGGGGGTGTGGAAGGAAGCCTGAGAACCTTTCGTACAGTGTCTGTGGGCTGTGCGGAGGGAGAGGACAGACTCAAGATATCTGTAAGACAGCAGGTCCTGAAACTTGTAGGATGCACAGATGTTCAAGGGAGGCCCGGAGTCCTGGGGTTCCTGGCTGACCAGGCAGCCAACAGACTGTCAAACCCTTGTCCACTTCTGTCCCGAAGCAGATACTTTGAATCTACACAACCATGGACAAATTCTTTAGCTTCTTTGTGTTGCATTTTTATCATCTGAAGATGGGGATAATGAGTAACGGGCATATCTTCTAGGCTGTGGTGAATGGAGGCAGCTGGCTTAGCATGCTGCGTAGTGAGCCATCCAGGATGGAAACAATTATCATAAAATTCCCTTACACTAACCTCATTTCTCCAACTATCTCTCATACGCACACTCAGACAATAGCTATGAACACAAAGTGAAATCTTTGCCTTTCTTGTTTATGGCTTCATTTCCAGCCAACTTGGAAGAGTGACAGACTCCCAGTGACAATTTAGGTATTTATTGGATAAATGGGTAAGGAAACACATATCACGTTGTTTTCTCTCTCCCTCTCCCCATCCATCATCCATCATTCATCCATCTATCATCCATCCATCCATCCATCCATCCATTCAAGGTAATGGAATCTAGTGGCTTAGCCTACAAAGTAGTTTTTCTTTCCAATAGTGGCAAACTATGCACAGCATAAAATTTACCTTCATAACCATTTCCAATTAAGTTCATTCACAGAGCTTTGCAGCCATCTCCATCATCCAACTCCAAAATACTTTTATCTTCCCAGACAGAAACTCAGTACCCGTTAGACATGAACACCCCAGACTCTCTCCCCTCCAGGACCTGGGAACCATCATTCCACTCTTTGTACCTATAAAGTGACTATTCTAGGTGCCTTATAAAAGTTGAATCACAATGTCCTTTTATGACGGCCCATGAGTTAACAATCATAAAAGATTATAAAATGAGAAATTCATTTTACCCCTACCTTATGGAGTTGTTGTGAGGTTAAAATGAGGTCATGCCTTCAGGTCCTTAACCCAGCATTTAGCATATAGAAAGTACTCCATAAATAGTAATGACATCTAACTACGGATTTTAAATTACTGGTATTTTGATATCATTTTTATTAGTATATTCTCAATGGATGAATGAATAGGGGTATGGTGCTTATCATGGGTCTGGCACTGTCCTGAGCAGTTATCAGACACTAACTTGTTTGAACCTCATAAGGATTCTACAATATTGGTTATCTCTCTATTATCCAGAGATTTAAAAATGAAGGTACAGAGAGGTTAAGCAACCTGCTCAAGGTTATAGGCGAGGTCTCTGCAGAGCTGGGATTTAAATCCAGGCCGTGTGGGCTGGGCTGGGGCTCAGTGGAGTGTGTGCCCATGGGCACGAGGCCTTGGGTTCAACCCCAGGACCAAAGGGGGAAACAGAACACAGCAGAAAGGTCCAGAAAGTCCACGGGTTTTACCACTGCTCTACAGTGCCACCTGTCTCCACTGCCTCGTTTACACTCTCCGTGTGGGATCAGCCTGTGAGGGGAGCGCAGGGGTCCGGGCCTCAGGTAGAAGATGGACAAATGATTGAAGGGGAGTCTGTCACTTAGCAAGTACGGCTCCCGATCTGTGGGGCCTCTTCGCGCTATTTACATAAGCTTGTCGCCTTGGGGGGGGGAGCACTGGGTGCTGGGCCCCTCCATCTCCTACAGAGCAGGGCCTGGAGCCAGAGCCTCCGATGATGCAAGCAGGCCAGCACCCGGCACTCAGCACCTTTGCCCTGCTTGGCAGGGAGCCCAGCAATCCTTGACCCCCTCCCCACCCAGTCCTGGGGAGATAAAAAAATAAAGTTTCCTTTCTGGGCCTCAGGGCCACCTCCCACGCAGGCTTTATTGCTCTCTTGACACCTTCAGCGAGCTTCTGCCACCCTTTAAAAGAGGCAGAGCCTATAGCGGATCAGAGGACCTGGTCCCCAAGCTAAGCGCGCGCGGGACAGCAGGTGCTGCTTGGCAGCAGCTCTGGCAGGGCCCAGGCCCTGGGCTGTTTCTCCCTGATGTCTGGAGAGGTGAGCGCAGGCCACATCTTCTGCCCCAGCCCGGCGGGTGAGGGGTGGCCGAGAGAGGGCATTCCAGGTTGGGGGCAGAGGCCTCTGTCTGGCTGCCTTCCCACCCGTACCTCCTCTCCCCTCTCCCCTGCGGCAGGCACCCATGTGTGACACTGAGCTTGGTGGTGGCAAGGTGAAGGAACTGAGCATGAGCGTCAGGTGTCGCACGTCCTGGTTCGAGCGGTTTGTGCAGCCCTGCCTGGTGGAGCTGCTGGGCTCTGCCCTCTTCATCTTCATCGGGTGCCTGTCAGTCATCGAGAGTGGGCCAGACACCGGGCGGCTGCAGCCGGCCCTGGCCCACGGGCTGGCCTTGGGGCTCATCATCGCTATACTGGGGAACATCAGGTGAGACCAAGGCTGAGCCTTCAGCCTGGGGCTGACTTGGGGAGCTGGGGGTCAGGTGGGGAGCAAAGCTCTTGGCAGGGACCCTTGGGCGTGTGGCACACGCTCAGGGTGCTGCAGAACGTGTAGGCCGGAGGTCAGACCGCCTGGCCCATCTTGGCTGTGCAGACCACAAACCCCGTGGCTTCAGGCAAGTCTCTGAAACCAAAGTTCGCCACCTATCAAATGGGAATAATATACTTTTCAAATGATTTTTCAAGCCAACGTTATATATGGCTAACCATGTACTGGCACTATCCTAAGCACTTTGCAGATACTGATCATTTAATCCTCATGGTGACCTTGTGGGGCAGGTCCCCCATTTTACATCTGGGCAAGAGAAAGGCCACGTAACCTGTCCAAGGCTGCAGGGCTGGAAAGCGGTGGAGCAGGAGTCGAGGCTAAGCTGTCCAGCTCCAGCGCCCAAACCCACAGGCCTCCTAAGGGGAACAGGAGGCGCTTGTCACACCTGAGGCTGTGTCAACCCTGATTGCTGTGTCACTGTTACCATTAGGAGGTGGGCTAGTACTGGGGTACACAGGTGCCTGCGGGGGTCCTGGGGGAGGGCAGGGAGCAGGGAGGTGGCCCGTGTCCTAGTTCTCATCTGGATGGGCGCTCCCTGGGGAGGGCTGAGGGTGGGGTGTTCCTGGGGGAGTCATCTGTAGTGATAGCTGTCTCGCAAAGGATACCTGGCAGGGTGATTTGGGACCGGTTGGTCTGTATTTACTTTCACTCAAGAAATAGATCTGAGTGAGGAAATTGAAATATAGTTTCTGGGGAAACCAGAATGGAAAGAGAAATTTAATACCTTTGTAAATGTCCGTGGGAAGCTGAGGGTGGAAGAGCACCTGATCTCTCAGTAGGTACACCTGGGGTTGAATAGAACTTCTGTCACTTCTTAGCTGGGTGACCAGGGCCAGTCACTAACTTCTCTGTGTGCAGCGCTGTACGTGTGGAAAATCATTACAGCTGATGTTCATTGAGCACCAACTCCATAGACAGTGCAAGGTGCTAGACACATGTGAATTCATTACGTCTTTGCAACAGCCTTATCAGGGAGAGATTATTGAGGCACTGAGAGGTTATGTAACTTGCTCAAGGCCACACAGCTCTTCAGCAGAGCTAGGGAGTGAACCCAGGCCAGGCCAGCTGGGAACATCTCTCAGGCCCTGCAGCAGATCATATTTGTAGTACTGACCTTTTATTCAATCACTGGTGTTTTTCAAAGAATATTTATTCAGCCGTTCCTGTGGACCAGGTATGGACTTTGAGGTTGTTGACTGGAGCCAAGATAAGGTGTGTAAAGCACCCAGCACGGTACTTGGCATGTAGTGAATGTTCAATAAATATTTGCCAAGTGAGCAATGACTGAAAGAACTAAGAAAGTGTCTTGCTTAGTTTACAGTCAAGGAGTATAAACTTGGTCCAGGGAGCACGTGTGGCCCTCAGGTGCCCAGGCCTGTCCCGATGGAGCCTTGCTCTCAGTGACAGCTTTTCTCCTGGCCATTTGGACCAGGTGCCAAGACAGAAGGGGAGCTGATGGCCTGGGAGGGGTCTGACTCTTTCACCCCCATCTGTCTCAAGCCAAGTGGGCCAGGGGGGCCCCTCTTCCCAACTCACATCTGAGCATCTGCTGGTGCTTCTGCACTGGAAGCTCCTGGGGGCCTGGGGGTCAGGCTGGGCCAGACACGTTGGGGGCAGCTGGTGTTGAGGTACCAGGGTGCTGGACAGAGTCCTTTTGTGCAGAGCCAACATCCTTGTCTAGTCTCAGCTCCATGTCCTGGGAGTAGGCAGGCCTGCTGGTGGCTCTTAATATTTGAGGGGCACTTTGACTCTTGTGTGACATGGGTGGGGTCTTGGGGCCACTTTCCCTCTTAGGGGAGGTTCCATTCCTGGGGACCTGAGGGATTTAATGGGTCAAGCTCTGGGAATAATTCCTTCTTAGACTGGGCAGTCAACCAGACTTGCCCTTTAACCCTGACTTGTCCATCTCTCACTCACATCCCAAACTCCCAGTTCCTAACCTGATCTCTAACCCCTCCCCAATCCTCAGTGCCATCTCCAGCCTGAACTAATCTTGATTTTATACTCATTACACTTGCAGACCAAACATAAGGTTGATCTTGGCTGAACAGGTCAACCATGTGCTCTTGTTCAGGCCCTAGCAATGGCCCTGATGGAGTCTAGGAATCCCTACATGTTCTTCCTCTGGGCCCTCCTGGGGCGGGCTGAGGGGCAGCTCCTCCCTTCCCACCTCCCCCGACCCCTCGCCCTAGCATCTGGCACCTCAGGGAAAGGGGAGAGAATTTGGGGTACTTGTCTTTGGGTCAGGGCCTGGACTGACTCTGGCCCTGGGAAGCCAGCCTGAGGGACTGGCTGGGACATCTCTCTCGGGGGCAGCCTGTGGTCAGCTCTGGACGTGGGCCTCATGATTTCTTCTGCTTTTGTGGTGTACAGTGGTGGACACTTCAACCCTGCGGTGTCGCTGGCGGCCATGCTGATTGGAGGCCTCAACGTGATCATGCTTCTTCCCTACTGGCTATCTCAGCTGTGTGGGGGGCTGATTGGGGCCGCCTTGGCCAAGGTGGGTGATGCCCAAGGGGGCTGGGCTGGCTGGGATGACTCCTGTGGGGCTGCTGGAGGGGTGCAAGGGTGGGGGAGTTGGGAAATGTCCAATTCTCTGTTTATGTCTGTCAGTGGAATTTGGTGGCCCTTTTCTTCTGGAGCAGGGGACACTCCATGGACCTTTGGCTCCCTCTAAACCTACCTTTTTCCATTCATATGTGGACACAGCTCTTCCCTGGACAGATCAGGAAGCAAATTCATGGCTTAACATTTCTCTTTCTGAGCCTATTTCTGGCTTTGGAATGGATTTGGATGGTTCTAGTGGTTTTTAAATTCATTCACTTCTTAATTCTATACATTTTTCACAAAGCTCTGGATGAGGACACAGGGTGAATATGGTTATCCTCCTGGAAAAATTCCTGAGTGAATGCCTCTGTGTTCTTCAGGAATCGATACTCAATTTTTGTTTAAAACTCTCCCATTCGGCTGGGTGTGGTAGTGCCTGCCTGAAATCCCAGCAACTGGAGAGGCTGAGGCAGGAAGATCCCAAGTTTGAGGTTAGCCTTAGCAACTTAGTGAGGCTCTATGCAACTAAGTGAGAACCTGTCTCAAAATAAGAAAATAAAAAGGGCTGGGGATGGGGCTCTCTGATAAGTGACCGTAGGTTTAATTCCTGGTACCAAAAAAAAAATAAATAAATCCTCCCATTCAATCAGTCTAGCTCTTCCTTTTCTTTCTTTTCTCTTCTCTTTTCTTTCATGCTGGGGATGGAGTTCGGGGACTCGGGCATGACATGCAAGTGTGCTACCAATGAGCCACCCCATAGCCTGAACCCCAGGACTTGTACAGCTCTACATAGAGCTCCGGGGGTGGGCTCCCCTCCTCTCCCTTCTTTTGCCCGTGAGTCTGTTCAGCCAGAGGTCTTAAAGGTGTGGACTTGTGTGGTGTGTGTGTGTGGGTGTGCTGGGGAGGATGGGAGACCTTTTAGCGTAGCCCAGTCCAGACTTTGGGTTCGAGTCCCGAGTTTTGCTGTCTTCCCCTGCCCTGGCCTCTGCCTGCCTCCACAGGAGGCGGCAGCCATTTCCCTGTCTGGAGAGGGCATTCTGGGCCTCCCTGCTCCCAGGGTGGGCAGGCCTGGATCATGGGCCCCCTCTGCTTGGCTCCCAGCTTCTCTTCGACCCCCTGTGAGACTGAGTGGCTTCTCTCCGCAGGTGGTGAGTCCTGAGGAGAGGTTCTGGAATGCCTCTGGGGCCGCCTTTGTGACAGTCCAGGAGCAGAGGCAGGTGGGGGCGGCACTGGGAGCGGAGATCATCCTGACAGCACTGCTGGTACTGGCCGTGTGCATGGGCGCCATCAACGAGAAGACACGCGGCTCTCTGGCCCCGTTCTGCATTGGCTTCTCGGTCACCGTGGATATCCTGGCAGGGTGGGTGTCCCTCAGCACAGACACCACCATGCCCAGATCTGGGTCGCGCCTCAGGGGATCAGGCCTGAGGGTCACTCATTAATTGCCAGTAGGGACTACTAGGAAGGTGCTGCAGATGGGGACAACGGGTTGGCTTTGGGCAGTAATAGGGAGTGGTGGGGACTGTGGTAACTAGGAGGCTCTGGGACAAGGTGATCTGGGGTGACCCTTCCAGTTACATTCAAGGAAAGTCAGAAGAAAGTTCTCTAATGTTTTGTATGGTGAATAACATCCCCGCAGGCTACAGTCTCAGGCACATAAGGAGTGTCCACACCCACGTCTCTATTTTGGGCCTTTTGGAAATCGTGGGAAGGCATTGAGAGACAAAGCTGGGCCTGAGATTACTCCCATTTTAAAGATGAGGCCAACTGAGGTTCAGTGAGGACAGAAGTGACTTATTTAAGGTCACTGGGCAATGGCAAGTCAAGTGACAGATCGAGAACAAGAGCCCACATCTGCTGAGGGGTTAGGTTCCTTCCTAACCTCCAACTTCTTCCTTTCTTTTGGACACAGAACCAACTCTAGCCTTTCTCCAGGTCAGGAGAGGTGGTCTAGGGCTAACTGGGATGGTGTGTGTCGAGCGGTGGCGGAACTTTGCTGCCCCCTTGTGGCACTCACTTCACTTGCAAGCTTATTGGATCTTGACCTTGGCTACTGGGCACAGGAGGGATGAGGGCTTCAGAATCCCAGCCTGAGTGCCTAGGGTAAAGCTGCAGACAGCAGAGCTAGAGAGATGCTCCTGGGGAGTGGTCCCCCAGGTTTCTGGGCCCCAGGTGTGGATGCAAAGGGCCTCAGCTCAGCCAGCTGGATTACAGCTCCCACTGGCACAAGGCTGCTGAGGCATGGGCTCTGTGGGCATTTCCTTACTTACTCCTGCAGACCACCTTTGGAGGGTCCTTCCACTTCACTGGAGACACACAGAGTTCTCCATCCAGCTGGGCTGGGAGCACAGAGAGGTTAAACCGAGGTCACAGCTAGACCTAGCAGGTCCAGGGCAGCGTGACTCCAAATAGGTTGACAACAGACTGGCTTTGCTTTATGGACTTAGAGAGAAACTTGATCTGTTTTTATTTCCTGCAGTAGGAATTCTTTGCCCGTCACTCTTCTAGAAGAGTGAGTGGGGAGTGGCAGGCTGTATGTCCAGGGAGAAGCCACGTCTTGGGTTTCTTAGAGTGAACAGTCCTCTGCTTTCCCTGGGATCTGCCTGGGAGCTCCTGATATGGGAAGTTAGAAAGATTTCTGGGTGGGCTGTTGTTTGGGCCTATCTGGGGATCTGAGGAGAGTGGGCCTGGCTGGGGCTCTGGTGACGTGTGGCTATGTTTGTAGGGGTGCTATCTCTGGAGCCTGCATGAACCCAGCTCGTGCCTTTGGACCTGCTGTGATGGCCAACCACTGGAGCTTCCACTGGATCTACTGGCTGGGCCCACTCCTGGCTGGCCTGCTCGTAGGACTGCTCATTAGGTAGGAGTGTGGCCCAGGGCCAGGGCCTGTCTAATGGGCCCCCTGAGGACAGTTCTCAGAGAATGCAAGGCTAGAGGGCTGGACTCTCTCACATGGGCTTGGAGAAGGAAAGATGGAACCTTCTTCAGAGAAAAAGAACCTGTATTCACCCAGGACCTTTAGCTGCAAGTCACAGAAATCCATTCCCTAAGAGAGGATCCATTGGTTGTCATGATTGAGAAGTCACAGCTGGAGCTGGCTTCAGTGGTGCTCAGATAGAGTCCTTAGGATCTGGGCTTTCTCATGGGCTCCACTTTGCTCTGTGTGGCTTTGCTGAGACAGGCTCTCCAATGGAGGCACAGCTGCCCACAGACCACTCGGCCTTTATGTTCTAGTAGCTTGACCACTCCAGAGGAGGAGGACAGCTCTAGCTAAAACCCTGTGTCTGATGGTCACTGGTGTGGTCTTTCCAGCATGGTGTCCACCCCTTAATCAATCACTGCAGCCAAGAGGATTGCAACTCTTGGTGATTGTGTCTGCAGGCTGAGCCGGGTGTGCCCTGGAGTGGGGCAGAGCCTGATTACCTGACCACCTGCTGGTAGGGCCGAGAGTAGGGGAGCAGCAGTTCCCCATGGGGCTGTTGTACAACCTCAGAGGGCCCCTCCATGTAAATGGTGTCCCCAAGGGCATCATGCCAGGAGATGCCATTCACATAAAATACAGTGTGGGCAGTGCTCCCTGGAATTGTGCAATGATTAATAAAGTTGATATTGTCAAAAGGATAAGTGGACTCCAGGCAGAAAGAGCTAGAGTCCCCTTCCATCTTGCTTGATCTCTCCTTCTCTCTGTATATATATTATATATTATAGATATAGTTGCTGATAGACCTTTATTTTATTTATTTATATGGGGTGCTGAGAATCAAACCCAGTGCCTCACACATGCCAGGCAAGTGTACTACCATTGAGCCCCAGCCCCAGCCTTCGGCTCTCTTCTCTCATCCTGTTCCTTCTGCTCTGGATGGCACTGTCTGGGAGGGCACAGGCATGGGCTGGGCTGATGCTCACACCATTGCCTTCGGCAGCCCAGAGACTTCAAGACCCTCCTGTGGCTCAAGTGAAAAGCATCATTTGCCCTTCTCTTCTGATGCTTTCAGAATGGCGGCAGTGAGCACCTCCAGTGTGTCCCTGTCCCCAAGGGGTTACTGCTAAGGCTGGAGAGGCTCAGGAAGAGATCCTGCGATTCTGGGCTGGAGACGTGGTGAGAGGTCTTTCCTCCAAGGGCTCAGAGAGCTCATGGTACCATCTTTCTCTCTGTAGGCTCCTCATTGGAGATGGGAAGACCCGCCTAATCCTAAAGGGACGATGAAGCACAACTGCTGCCCCTATGCCTTCAGCTGCCCCATTCTGGGGTAAGGACAAGACAGTTTCTGCGCTTCCTTCCAGAGCAAATGACCTGCTGCTAATGACTTGGGCCTGGCTTCTCAGACAGACAGACAAACTACCACAAAGGCCCAAGGATGCTCTATGTTTTGGAATTGCTCTGTGGCCATCTGAGGCCTCAGCCTAGGAAAGGCGTTGCCAGCACTTCCCAGAGAGATGAAAAGAGCACAGTGTTTTTCTTGAGAGGGCAAGTCCCAGGAGCAGGAGAGCAGTTAAGTGGCCGTTTATGTACATCAGCTCATTTCCCCGCCTTTTCCTTCCTGTCTGCCTTCCTCCATCTCTCCTTCCTTCCTTCACATTATTATTGTTAGTTTTTCAGTGTTAGGATAGAATCCAGGGTCTCTCACATTCTAGGCAAGTGCTCCAGGCCACACTCTCAGCCCTTCACATCCCCTTTCTCTTTCCTGGATTGTCCCTTGATTCCTCTGTTACAAGGGCCTTCTGGAGCCTGACCACTTCCTTGCTTCCCAAGCTGCTAATCTAACTTTGCAATAAAGAGTCTAGTCTTTTCTTCCCTGTGTCTATTGGCTTGCCTTTCATTGGAGAAGTGGGCACTGCTGGGGACGAAGTAAACTTTCAAAGTGGGGTGCTGACTGTCCAGTCTGGCTAAGTCCAGCAGAGCCCAGCTTCCAGTGCCAGTGCAGGTACTTGGGAATGCCTGCCTCACTTAGCCAGACCCATCTGGGTGCTCAGAGCCCCCCTGGACCCTAATCAGACTCAATTCCAAAGCAGCTCCTCAGGACCCTGCTAGAAGACCAATGCAGAGTCCAAGACTTGGTTGAAGGCCCAGTGCTGCCCGGACACAGATCAATCCTGTCACTGCATGTCAGCTGGGTTGGGGGGGGGTGATGGGGTGGGGCAGAGATGCAAGAGTTTCCTGGGGAAGCAGAATCCTGAGCACAGGCCTGGAGAGATGGGGTATTTGAGTGGGAGACATGAGTAGAAAGCATAAGAAGGTAGAGAAAGACAACCTGAGCTTCATGCCTTTCAAGTGCAGGGTGTATCTTCTCTTAAGAACCCATGGGTCCGGCTGGGGCTCAAGGGTAGAGCACTTGCCTAGCATGTGTGAGGCACTGGGTTCAATTCTCAGCACTGCATATAAATAAAATAAAATAAAGGTCCATCAACAACAACAACAACAAAATAAAAAAAAATAAAAGAATCTATGTGTCAAAAGGAGGAAAGGCATGTTATGAAAATAGAAGGGAGGCCAGCAGAGTAGAGAGAGGGGATATCAGGGAGAAAGGAGGAGAGGAAAGGGGAGGTGCAGGGGAATGAAATTGACCAAATCATGTGCTTGTGTGGTAAGTCACACTCAATCCCACTATTACATAATTATAACGCATCAATAAAAAGAAATGAGTCATTTATGAAAGTTAATCATTATGACACCATAAAGAAGAGCCAGGGAAAAATCATCAACAATAAAACATTCACCCAATTCTACAAGATGAGCAACATACTCACTGGAGTAGAAATGAAGAACTGGTCACTGGGAAAACCTGCCTAATCCTACAAGGGACTGCGAAGCAGAGCTGGTAGAGTTGCCGGTGCCCCTGTGTCCTATAACAGACAGCGATTAGAATGTGCAGAGACATCACACACACGGATGTTATATGATCTATGTACCTCCCCCTCCCTCTCTCTATGTATATACATCCTATATACATATGTCTTAATATGCAAAAATTCTGAGAGGAAAAAAACACAAACCAGAAGAATAACAACCATAAAAGATAGAGAAAGGCAGTAAATAATATGAGAAAGTTAGAAATAAGCAAATTTAGAAGACTTAGTAAGAAATGTCACTATTTCATTCACCTAAACAATGAAAGAAACCTTTGACTAATGTAGTAAATAATAAGTCAGTGATATGTACACGCAGGCACCCCCACACACGATGCTCCTCTCCAGGACTCTCTGAGCATTTGCTGTGTATCAGGGCCTGCACCGAGTGCTTGACATGCATAGTGTCCTTCACTCCCCGCCACAGTCCTATGAGGCAGTGTAGAGGACTGAATGGTGTCCTTGCAATTCATGTCCATGCTAACCTCAGACTGTGACCTCACCTGGTAATGGGGTCTTTGTAGATAAAACTAAGGTAAACATCAAGATGCAATCCTACTAGATTAGGATGGCCTAAGTCCAACAATAGTGTCCTTATGAGACACAGAAAATGACACCCACAGACACTGTGTACAGTGAAGTCCACATGAAAGTGGAGGCAGAGATGGTGTGATACCGTCAGGAGACCTCATCAGGAAGTCACTAGGAGCTGTAAGAAGCAAGGAAGACTTTTTCTCTTGAGCCTTTGGAGGGAGCATGTCCCTGCTGACACCTCAATTTCCAACTGCTGTGTCTCCAGAACTATGAGAGAATATATTTCTGTCCTTTTAAGCCATCAAGTTTGTGGCAATTTGTTACAGCAACCACAGGAAATGAATACAAAAAAAATACTCTTTTTTTTGTATTTGTATTTGGTATTTGTATTTGGTAACTGTTGTCAGGTAGGGTATGGCTTCATAAATTAAGTGTGGGGGGGTGGTCTTTGGGGTTTATTTTTTTGTCCCTGGCGAGCACAGCTCTCTCTCTCTCTCTTTGCTTCCTGTTTGCCATGCCCTTCTGCCATCATGCTCTGCCTCACTTCAAGCCCAAAGCTATCGAACTGGCCACTCATGGGCTGAATCTCTGAAACCAGGAGCCAAAAACCCCCGTGTCTTCCTCTCCATTGCTCTTGTCAGGTCTTCCATCACAGGGATGCAAAGTGACTAAAATATCCAGTGACTCCTAAATTCACTCACCCCACAGAGTAGAACCCCAAATTGATCCATATCACCTAAGTTCACTTCCACCTCATTTCCTCTTTTCTCAACAATAAGGAAGTCACAGAATTTTAGGATGTTAGAACTAGAAATACATTACAGTAACGAATACGGTGGCTATGATGTTTGAATGCTGATCAAGGTCTAAATTTAATCTCAGAATTATCACTTTTTTTTTTTTTTTTTGCTGCACGTGCTTGAAGAACTTACTTCTCTCAGCCTCAGCTTTTCACTTCTAAAATGAAAATACTGTCTCAGAATGCTTGTAGGAGTTAACCCCATGTTTATAAAGCTTTGGCACAATGCCTAGTATGCAGTAAATGCACAGTGTGATAGCAGTATCATTGTTATCATCTAACTAAAGACTTTACAATTTCCAAGTATCAGAATCATGGTAAAGAAGTTTCTAAATGCACTTGGCACATCATGTGTTTTTTCAGTTATTTTCAGGAAGGATCTTTAGGACTCTAAAGGTTGGGAACCATTCATCCTGACCAATCCCCAAACCCAGAGAAGCTAAGTAATTTGACTATTATTCAGTTAGAATTGAGGGTTTTGGACACACAATCTAGGGTTTCTTCTACTGCAACAGAAATGTACTTTCTGCTCCAGACCCTTGGGTACAAGTACTGATTCATTTCCTTTTGCCAGAATTGTCCTAAATCTCCACCGCCCTTGTTGTTACAGTCCTGCATCTCTCCCTCATCACGCTGTCCAGGAACTCTGGGGGTTTGGGCAATCTGAGAGGGAAGTGTGGTAATCTACTCCAGCTAGAAAGAAATGTGTAAACCTTGGGTCTGCAGATGTGCCATTCAGAGGTCGTCTGTGCTCCAGCTGAGACCCATGTGTCCAGGACACAGAGATTTCTTGAAAGCAGACTCCTTTAGCCATATTTCCATGACATTCACACTAGCCCACCCACATGCTCCATGAGCTTCTGCTCAGGTACCCAAGCAACTCTTAAGGTCTTTTAGGCCTTATCTGCTGTCCCTCAGCCTCAAAACATGCATTCATATTCCTCTTTCCCCTTGAGTCCCAGTGTCTCAGGGTGGGGTTAGGAAATTTGCCTGTCTTGGAACCTGTCTTGGAACCCAAAGCCAGTGTCCTGGACCCATCCTGGAGTTGAGGGTCTTATGATTGGCTATGTTCCTTTTCATGCTTAAAACGTGAAGTCTTTCCTTAAAGTCTAGTTGCCTCAACTCATTTACAGAACTTGAACATTTGTAACCCTTAGAGATTTCCCCCCTCAGAGGTTTACAGTCTCATCTAATTGCCAGATCTGACTTGGGTCACAGCCTTCACATTCTGTGAGGACAGGTGGCTTGGGAAGAGTGCTGACATGACCCTGCAAATGAATACTCCCAGCTTTATCCAAAAGGGTCTGTGGCCATTTCCTCAAGGAAAGTAAAGACCACAGGACTCGCCTAGCTCTCCAGTCTGCAGACTGTGACCCCGAGCAGGCATGATCCTTGAGGTCTTTGGGTTCTATTGCAGTGAGCTGCACAGAGGCGACCAGTCTATGAGATAGAGACGCCTTGTCTGGAATTTACCTCATGTTCAGGTGAACTGGCTCTCCGAGCCCACCCTGTGGTCCTCTCCAGTTTTCTTCCCTAGCTGAGCTGGAGGCACACCCTTAGCAAATGGAGAAATCTCTTCAGAGACTCCATGGTCCTTGGGGTTGGGACCATTATGGTAAGGGCTGAGTGAAAGCCACTGGAACTCTTCCTTTTATGCCAAAACAGTGACAAAAGGAACACCATGGTGAGCATACTGCACCAAAATAGTTCCCCTTTTGGCATAAGGATATTTTCAGCTCAAAGCACTTGAAAAACAGCAGGCGGAAGAGGGACGCCCTGACTCCTCCTCTTTCTGAAAGCAGGAGATACAGCCTCCAAGTGAAAGATGTCCTCTCCCCTCCAGGAGGAAACATTCTTATCACCAGAGATGGAGAGTTGAGCCAAGAGAATTCTGTACAGATCTTGTTAAAATAACTTTAAAAAAATCTTTTCTTTTAGTTGTAAATGGATACAATTAATTATTTTTTTATGTGGTGCTGAGGATCGAACCCAGTGCCTTGTACATGCAAGGCAAGCACTCTGTCACTGAGCCACAATCCCAGCCCTAAAATAACTCTTTTTGTCCTCTGGGCTCCCCATGTATTCTAGCTCCTCCCCCACTGCTTTTCTGCTCAATCTGGTACAGAATGGCTTGTGTTGTGCTACTTCCCAGGTCTCCGTTTCTCGTGGAGACTCCCAGACACATAGACACATCTGTGGGCTTTTCTGCCATTAGTTTGGTTTATGTTAATTTCATCCTCAGGTCCAGCCAGAGAACAGGAATACAGACATAAAGTTTGCCTCCCCTATGACTGTATCTTGGGGGAAACTGTCACGATTTCTTCCACACTGGGCTGGGGATGTGTGCCGCCTCAGAAATACATGCAGTATGCCCAGCCAGTGCCAACTCCACCCTAGTGTTAGAGCCAAACACTATTTGGGACAATGGCAGTGACAGTTACCAGAGGACTGCTGTGTGGGAATAGCTGTGGACTCACAAAAGATCCCTTCCTGTTAGTCATGGGGGACAGACATGAACAGGAATAAAACTGAAATACCCCCCCCCCTTTTTATTTTTATTATCTATAAAATGAGTTTATAACTTCCTGTATTTTCTTTTCCCAAATAGAAAAAGA